TTGCTTATTTCATTTTCCCATGAACCCACAAACAAATTCAGTCAATTGGCCTGGTTTGCTCTGCTTTGTGCTACAAAATTTCCCCAGGAAGTTCATTTAGAAAATGAGTGCTAGTATTGAATGACTTCTGGTCACTGTTCTCAAAGCTGATGTGTCACTGTGAAACTGCAAGAAATATTTCAAACCCTTAAAAAAGGGTCCCCTCCCATTGTGCCTGGTATGGGAAAAAGTAATGAAACCATATAAGGAACATATCTTAGAGAGTCCCTTAGAGATTTTAGAGGTTTAGTGTATAGAATTGATTCATTTATAATTTGTCAACTTACTGATATTTCTCTTTTAAAAGAAGGGTTAAAAGTCAATTATCTTTGAATAGATTCTCTCTTTAAAAGATCACCTCTATCAGCTCCATTCATTCAAGTCCCCAACTATAAGTCCAAGCCATAAATGGTAGAGATCAGGCTCAGAAGGGTTCAAGTTAAGAGAATCACTACATGTTCAGGGTACTAGAGCTAGTGTACATCAGAGTACATAAACTCAGGTCTTCTAGGCTCTGAAGCCAACCCTCTACCTGACACATTGTACTATTTCTCATTAAATATGCCTTTGATTAAATAATAATGGTTAATAATGTTTCTTGGGGACATTTTGGTTAATTCAAATTGGTTTCAATAGCAAGCAATATTTTAAAGATCATGATTTTTGAAAAACAAATTCCCTTTAGCATAAAACCTAGTATAAAGTAGTCACTTAAAAATGGTTATTGATGGACTTGTTCACTAAGGAACTAGTGAATATCAGTTGTTTAATCATTTTTCAGTCATGTGTGACTCTTTGTGAACCCGTTTGGGGGTTTCTTAGCAAAGATACTGGAATGGTTTGCCATTTCCTTCTCCAGATCATTTGAAAGATGAGGAACTGAGGCAGACTGGGTTAAGTGATTTGCTTAGGGTCACACAGCTAGTAAGTGTCTGAGGCAGAATTTGAATTCAGGAAGAGTCTTCCTGACTCCAGGCCCAGCACTCTATTCACTATACCACCTAGCTGCCTTTGTGACTTAATTAGAACTAATTCTTATGATGATAGTTATTTGTGAATGGCTATTAAACTATAGCATACTCCGTGAGTTTTTGGAAAAGTACATGGTTTTGAATTACTATCCTCTAGAAGCATGGTGAACCATTCAAGTTTACTTGTAACATATGGTCTTAATTTGTTAAAGAAGAGAATTCAGCCTTTTTTTAAAAAAAAAGTCACCTTTTCTTCTTAAGGTTTCTATATTTGTCAGAAACAAATGGGACTTCAAATATTTTCAAAGAAATTATTTTTGCTTATTTCAAAAAATTAGAGTATATAAATGGGTAGATATTGTCCAATTTTTCTGGCTTTTACTCCTTGTTCCTAACAGACTATTTTTTTTAAATTTTATACATTATCCAACCTTCACCAAACTCTCTTGCAGATATGATAATGTAATTGTTTTCTGCATTAATTTTTCCCTGTTCTAGCCATACAAATACTGTCTCCATAGCAAGAGGGGCAAAAACTCCAAAATAGCAGCACAACTACCATCTGAGTATCTGCCATATTAGAAGGTATGAAGAAAATCTATTAGTTGGAACTCCTGGAAAGCCAGTGATAAAGACAATGCTGAAAAATAAGAGGATATATCTTTAGGTTTTCCATCTTTAAATTAAAATGCGTTGCTTAGAATATATGTGTTTTACTCTGAGGCATTACCTCACACCTATGAGATTGGCTAATATGAAAGAAAAGGAAAATTATAAATCTTGGAGAAGACGTAGGAAAATTGGGACATTAATGCATTGTTGGTGGAGATGTGAACTTATTTTGGACAGCAGTTTGGAGCTGTGCTCAAACGGCTACAAAACTGTACATACCCTTTGATCCAGCAATACCACTACTAAGTCTGTAACACAAAGAGATTATAAAAAAAGAAAAAAAGGACCTACATGTTCAAAAATATTTAAAGCAGCTTTCTTTGTGCTGGCAAAGAATTGGAAATTGGGGGAATGTCCATCTTTGGGGAAATGACTGAATAAGCTGTGTTATATGAATGTAAATGGAATACTATTGTGCTATAAGAAATAAAGAGCAGGCAGATTTCAGGAAAACTGAGAAAGATTTTCATGAACTGATGCTGAGTGAAGTGAGCAGAACCAGGAGATTGTTGTACACAGTAACAGCAACATTGTGTGATCATCAACTGATTGACTTAGCTCTTCTCAGCAATACAATGATCCAAGACAATTCCAAAGGACTAATAATGGAAGATGCTATCCACATCCAGAGAAAGAACTATGGAGTCTGAATGAAGATTCAAGCATATTATTTTCACTTTGTTTCATTTTTTTTTCTTTCTTGTGATTTTTCCTTTTTGTTCTGACTCTTCTTTTACAACATGACTAATATGGAACTATGTTTAACATGATTATACATATCAGATTTCTTGCCATCTTGGAGAGGAGTGAGGGGAGGGAGGGAGGGAGGGAGAGAGGGAGAAAAATTTGGAACTCAAAATCTTACAAAAAAATGAATGTTGAAAACTTTCTTTACCTATAATTGGAAAAATTAAAATAGCATAAAGAAAATAATATATGTATTTGTGTATGACTTAACATATTTGTGTGTATTCATATATATGTATTTATATTTGTATGTATAGACACATACATACCCAAGACTTAGTACAGTTTTGAGCTATTAAAGCTTAAAACTATTCTAAGATTTTTGGAATAATATGTGTCTATATAAAATCCTTCATACTATCCCTGCCACATCTCACTGGCCCTTTTGATATGTTACAATAAGATGAATAAAAAAATTATAAGAAATATGACCAAGGATAGAGGATTTTAAACTTTGATTAGGTAACTTTAACTAAAAGCTGGTTTACCCAGATCTTTCTCAAGGTTCTGTCAATGAATGGTGTCAGAAAAGACTACCTGCTGCTTTAGAGATCTTTCTGACATATAAAATACACATATATCATATAAAACCCTGTTACAAGTGAAATGCAGCACTAGCAGCTTTCAAAGAGCTTTTCATGGCAGAGGGGGAAGGAAGAAATAGAGAGAGACAGAGACACAGAGACAGAGACAGACAGAGAGACACAGAAACAGAGACAGAGACAGATGTAGCAAAGGCTAATAGCAGGCCACCTAAGATTGGTGCTTTCTATGGAATTCCCAGTGGGATTTTATTTTGTCATTCCTATATATTCTTTCAGCAGAACTCTTAATTTTCTCCTATCTCTTAATGTTATGCTCTATAAGCATTTCAGGAAATATTGGGGCCACCAGGTCCAAAATGTCATTCATAAAATGGCCAAGATATAACACTTGTAAAAGGGCCACCATGCTTATCCCCAAAGTTCCTATTGTTCTACTATCAACTTCAAGTACTTGTATGAGAAACAGGAACCATGATATTCTTATTTTAAATACATATAAATAAACACATATTCTTGTATCTCCCGAATTATTTCAGTTAAAAACAACCAAGTTTGGGAGAAATCTGAATCATTCTTCTCTTTTGTCCTTTTGCTTTTTGAGGACTATTGTATCAACATCTGCTTTATAAATTAGCAATAGTATAATCATTTAAACTATCTTAGTGAAATCAGAAAATTGACAAATCTTTTTGTAAAGTATTTGTTCATTTGAGGTAAATTGGTCCTTCCAGGAATCCTAACAGTATATCCATGTACTGTACATGCCTATGAGATTTGCCAGTGAATATAGCTTATATCATATAGGTAATTACCCTGCTATGTAAAGAATGACAGATTGAAGAGGATCCATTTAATTTAGTATCAAAGCTCTGGAGCTTCCAGAAGTTCTCATCCTGTAAAATGTATTTACCATAGTCATGGAAAACTAACTAGCCATGCTATACACAATGCTCTTCAAAAATACTTTGGACATTCTCCAACAGACATAGAAATTAAAGATTTTAGAAGAAAGCCAAGCAGTTTCAAGTGCTAAAACTGAATGGCCTCTGAGGCAGTCATCTGTAAGAAAAGGCAATTGGCTTCCTTCAGAAAAGGAATATGAAGAGCATGTATAGAATATGGAGAAAATGATAAAATATAATATATATGCACACACACAAAGATGTATATTTGGAGGCATGGAATGAAAAGTTGTGACAGAAAAATGAGCATGACTGAAACATGAAGTATAATGAAAATCTCTTTCTTCCTATTTCAGCAGTTCTTCAACTTTCCTATCATCTAACAAGAGATACAAAAGGTAAGAAAATGAATATATGTTATAAAAAGAAAAGAATAGGATAAAAGAGGGAAGGAGGTCATGTCAGAAGAGTTTTTCAATAAAATGAAACAGAGAAACATGTAGGAAAATTAACCAGGAGATGAAGGAAAATATACTAAGTAACAAAAATAACTAACACCAATATTGTGCTTTAACATTTTTTCAGAATTGATTATCCCATGTAGTGAATAAAGAAAAAATTGCCACAGACCAAAAAAGTGAAGAAATGATTCTTGTAAATTCACACAACATAAAAAGAAGGTATATAAAATAGGAGCTCAGTAACAGTTGTTTTTTGTTTGTCCTTCGGATCTCCAAGAATATCTACAAATTACATGCCAAGAAGAAATAATTAATTAAAAGCCACATAATTTGGATTGATTATATTACTAAGTTTGTTCCTTCTGAAAATGAAATGAGTAGTCATTTTATGCTGGAAGTACCAATTATCTAAGTAAAAAACAAGTCAAACATTTCCATCTCTTCTCAAGTTGTAGATATTCTATTATCTTTCTGTATTATTTTTTCTTCTAATTTTAGGAAAATAATGAAATACATACTAATAGGAAACCAATTTGTGAAGGTAATTGACATAGCCCAATATATCTAAATAAAAAAAGAACATTTAAAGAAGACTGCATCTCTATAGCTAAATAAAAATGTCTACAAGGTGTGGCAAGTCAATTTTCCACAATTTTCACTTACTAGAATTACTGCTGTCATCCTTGGTTCCGTCGAGAGCTCCATCGGGGTGCATTTGCAAGTAGTAGCCTTGCCTGCAATATAACCTGGTCACTATACCCTTGAGCTGGGGATCTGAAAGGCAAAAATAGTTTATAATAAGCTTCATAATGTGTAATGTAATATTTTTTCTTAATTTTATTTGTTTTCTATTTTATTACCATTATTATTAATAGTATTTTGTTATAATAGGACATTCTATAGAAGAAGAATTTTTGTTTTTTCCAAGATTGCTGGAGCCATTATTATTATAATAATTTCAATTATCATAGAATAATTGATTTAGACCCATAAAGGTTTTTAGACATAAACAAGAACAACCTCCTCCTTTTACAGGTTAAAAAAAAAACCTGAAGAACAGAGAGGTAAGGTATCTTGATCAGAATTATAAATCTAGTAATTATCAAAGGAAAGATTTGAATCCAAGTATTTTTCCATAGAGAACATATATTTCATACCAAATTTTGTGTTTTCAAATGGGAAATAATGGGGCTTATTTATTTTGCTAAATTGCATAAAAATCAGGTCCTTTTTACATATTTGTTTCTAGTATTACCTTGCTGGTTGTTAATCTACAAGCAATACAAAGAACATTCTTTGCTATTTTAAAGGCTGCTAATCATTCCAAATAAAAATATAGGACAATCAGAAAACCCCTGTTGATATTTCCACATATGACGTGATTTGGTGATTGAGTTATACCATCATGTATCCTATAAAGGATACCATCCTAATCTTTGTCACTAGGGTTCATCTTGTTTTATGTCACACTCCTCAGTAATATTCAAGAACAGTCTATATCTAAATAATGTCTTCTTTACACTATCAGTGGGCAATTTGTGAAATAGAACTGATGACTTCTGATGCAATTTTCTTCTAGTACACAAATGCTTAGGTGGGGAATATTGTAAAATATCAAATAAAAAATAAAAATAAAAATAACAAGGGTGAAATTAGGTAAGGTGGAAATCACATTCTGCCCCCAAGGAGGAATAAAAAGAGGAGGGAAGAGGGATGAGGGCCTGGAATAATTCCTTGTAGGATCAGATTTTTGGTGTGACAACTCATTATAAAAATAGCATCTATAACATCCCAATTCCCTGAGATGTCAGCTGTTACCTTCTTGCTAAAAGTTGCAGAAAACTTGCTCAAAAAATTACTGCTTGAGCTCAGATTCTTAAAATCTAGCCAATAGCTCACTAGTGTTGGAATCCTTCAGAGTCTGCCCAATATGAGAGATGTTCTGATAGACCTTGTCTTTGGCTAAAGGAAGGCTTGGGTTGAATTCTTTTGGGCAGGGCCCTAGTGTTTCGGTTGTAGGGTCCCAGCACCCCTAAACCTCAACATTTTGGTGGCCCATATGGGGAAACTGACTAACCCCAAGTTCTTCTCCAGCCAAGACTGGAAGGCATGTAATCCTCCCCATCCCCCTTTTGTGCTCTGCAGTTGGGGTGGCTCTCCAAGCACCAAGGCATGGAGGTGCTTTTTGGGCAGACAGTTATGAGGCTGTCTCACACTCAGCCTAACTCTCTCACGCTCTTGGTCCACTGGTTCAGTTTGAGGCCATGGACCTGGGTATACCTTCCTCAGCACAGAGGACAAGGACAGACTCCCCTATCTGGAAGCGTATGCCCAATCCTGTCAATTCTCTCAGCACTAGGGAATTGGAGAAAATTGCAGTTGCTTTTTGGTTCCCTGAAGTTCACTCCCTTCCCTCTACACTCCTGAATCCTCCTTCATGGAGGTTACAGGGAAAAGTTAGAACAGCTAAAACTATCTTGGAAGATTCTGGAGGTTTTGTGATTGATCCTTAAGGAGTTTTGAAACTCCTTACAACTCTGGTCACTCTTTTCTCCCACTCCCTTCCCTTGAGTCAAGCGTCTATCTGTTAACCCCTCAAATAGGAGAAGAGAGTTTTGCCCTTTACCCCTCACCTTTGATTTCACCCTCCCCCACCTGGGAAAGGAAGGGGGGGAGAGGCAGCAGCTACAATGTGGGCTCCCCTGGCAATGGCCTTGGGCCCTAGGGCAACCTTTGCCTGGAAGCATCACCCAGGTTCAACACATCCTGCTCAAGGTAAAGAAGCTAGCTTGAGAATTTGAGTTAAGTATGCTCTTTTAAATCTGCAGTTTTAACTGTTAATGATGAGATGTTGATTCTCTGTGTAAAATAATTTGGAAATGAATTTAACAAAATTGAAGTCACATGATTGGTAATAGGTTTGTTTCAAGTTTCAAACTGGTGAAATTTTTGTATCAATTATGTCAAGCAACTTTTCATAATTTGATTATCACTAAAATAATTTGGCTATTGTTGGTTATTGTTTTAATGTGTAAACTAGTCAAAAAGTTTGTTTGGGTTATGGCTTACTGAGACTTTGCAAGTGTATAGAAATCTCTAATGATTGGTTTTTTACACCAGGACAAATTTAAGTTTGCAATGTAAATCCTGGAAAAGTTTTTCCTAAGCTGTGATTAGTGAAACTTGCTATGTGAGGTAAAAGCTCATAGGATTTTATTTTGAGTTGTCTGATAGATCATAATAATCCATTGATAATCAATAATCCACCATCTGAGAGAAATGCAACAAGCTACTCAGAGAATGTGATAATGGTGGGAAGTCAGCACTGGGAAAAGCTGAGAGGACAATTTTAGCCTCAGTCTAAGATGGAATCCTCCTGGCTCAGTTTCCCCATTATGTTCCTTTGAAAGGGAATGTTACCCAACTGGCTATTCCTGAGTCTGCCTATGAGGTGGATTTGATACTGCATGGTTGGAAAACTGAATTATCTGAATCCAAACAGAGCTAAGGATGTTTTATCCTCTCATATTTGGGTCCTAAATCTAGTCCCTGCTTTATATCTCAGCCCTGCAGTGTTTTCTGCCAGATTTGTGTCTTCCAGACTACAGGCCATTCACTGACAGTGGGTAGCAAACAGTGGGTACCAGCCAATGTCCCCCCATTATTCCCTGGATGCAGCTTGTGCTTGGTTTCCAGTCAACTTCCTCTTTGGGACCCTCTCAAGGCAGGGACAACTCTACACCCCTTGCCAGCAGAAAACAGTTTCAGAAGCCAAGACCTTCACCCCTTACCCCAAAAGAATTTGGGTCCCATTTGTTTGAGGGGGGAATGATGAGGATGGGATCTAGACCCCAAAAAGGAAAAACCCTGGACTTTCCCACTAGGCCAAATTGGCCTTTGCTTGAGGCTATAATCCCATCAACTGGCCTTTTATTGTGGCTACACCCAATCTCCTAATTCTGTTACCCTTAACCTAGCCTAGCCCTACCTCCCTATGGCCCCAGGCCACTTCACACCCTTAATCCTATCTAGGCTCCATTCTCTCTTGGCCACATGGTCTAGGTCCCTGGAGTTCTATTACCTCATAGACTACTTGGCCACTCCTAAATCCCTCCCATAGTCTTTCTTTATATAAGGTCCAGCTTGTCTCCATTAAGATGCTCAGATTCTTAAAATCTAACCAATAGCTCACTAGTGTTCAGACTCCTTAAGAGTCTGCCCAATATGACAGATGTTCTAATAAACCTTGTCTTTGGCTGAAAAAAAAATTACTGCTTGTATGTTAGTTTTCATGGACTGCCTTCTATCCATGTATTGGTCAGAGTAGTGACCCAAGTTTTGATATGATTTCTCTATGCAGCAGCCCAAATATTACTTTAATAAGTTGGGTATCACAATGCCTTCCAAAACAACAAAGAACTCTCAACATCATCAAAATGTTGATGATGTTACACGAATTTGAACGTGATGTCAAATGACCAACTAAATGGATTGTCTTATGAAACGATGAAACACATCTCATATCGATGTAAAGAATTAAGAGCCCATATAAACAGAAAATATGTTTGAAATGTTCCAATTATTATGTTTTAGAAACTTTGCTTTATTTCTCATTTATTATAATTGTCTGACTGAAAATGACATTTACACACTCATCAAAGAAAGAAAAGCTTTACCTAACACCTTGAGATAGATCAATATTTGATCTTTCTTTGAAGCTATCATCATCATATTATATACATCTTTTTGCACAATAATGGGCTAACAACCTACTAGCAAACATCAGCTTCCCTATAGTGTAAGAACTCATGTATATGAAAATTCAAAATAAAATAATAATGTCAATTTCAAACTTTTTGCCATAGTTAATTGATTGCTTTATGAATATTCATCATACTATAATATATTGTTAACCCCACAGCAACATCTTAAGGAGTTCAATTAATAGAAATAATTCAGT